GGCCACATCTGTGCCTTCAAATTTCTCACAGGATTCCTCTTTACACCCTTGGAAGTTCCTGGAACTGCTGGGCTGCTCCCTAACAAGACCACAGGGTCGTAATAACAGGGCATCACAGGGGAGTTCAGGTTGGAAGGGACTTCAGGAGGTCTCTGGTCCAACCTGCTGCTCAAAGAAGGGTCAGCTTGTGGCTGGACCGGGTCACACAGGGCTGTGTCCAGTCTGACAACTCTTGAAAACATCCAAGGTTGGAGGTGGAACAAGTTGTCTGGGCAATGTGTTCCATTTCTTGGCTGTCCTTATGCGGGCAATGTGTTTCCTCCAATACCAAGTCTTGGATTTTCCTTCTTAAACTCCAAAGGCATCACTGGTGGGTAGGAATGGAAAAGGAATTCCACCAAAGCTGGACTTTTCAGAGTAAGACAAACTTGGTAATGCTGTACTTTTCCAAGAAATAGGCAGGTTTGGGGTGGGATAACAGTCTGTGGGTTCCTCCAAACCTGAGGCAAGGAAGAGGAGCAGGATGCAGAGTGGAGATCTCACTTTCAGATTCCACAGCCACGTGGCTCCGTTTCTCCACCTCACTCATCGTCTGGGAGAGGCGTGAGTTTGCATCAAACATCAAAGAATCCATTTTGCCTTCGAAAGGATGGGGAATGTTTTTGAAATCCTGACTTCTCCTGGGATGGGAAACCATTTGATTCCCACTATTTGAATTCAAGTCCTGTCCCAAGACTGAGGAACACCTGAGGGCAGATACCTTGGGTGACGATGAGCAACAGGTCACTCCGGCTTGCAAGATGAGTCAGTGAGGAGAGTTTGCAGCTGCACCTGATGCAAGAGTTTGGGGCTGGGGAGTGTTTCTGAACTGTCTTTAAACTGAACATCCAATAAAAGTTTTCCCTTGTAATTTAGTTGCTGCAGCACCAACCTCCAAGGCCATTCAGGGCATTCCAAAGCTGCCGTTTCCGATCCCGAAGCAGGTTAACACCGAGTGGCTCTTGCCTTGCAGGAATAGATCATGAAACTCAAATGCTGACAGGATTAATGCTCTGTAAAAAGGCTCCAGCCCTTCAGCGAGGCCGGGTGTTCTTTTCACACATCAGCTTTACGAGCCCCCTGCGTGGTTGGTTTTGGAAGAATCAGAAATCCTTCAATGGAAAGATGTTTAGTGAAGAAAAATAGCAGCAGCAACAACAACAAAATGAATGAGCAACTGTGGAAAGTGAAGGAAGTGTTTTTATCTGCAGATATGCTTCAGTCAATAGCTGGGTGAGAGGTACTAATTTTAACACACCTTGGAAAGCTGGGAAGTTCAAAGGAAAATGGAGCTTTGGGTACAATAAACTAAAGGAGGTTACTCTGATATACATGTCCAGGCAACTGAAGTGCTACAAGAAGACAGGGGGGTAAAGGCAGGTTCTTCTTCCTTCTACTTATCTTTTAATAGAATGAGATTTATGTTATATTACTGCCATTACATTCAAGAGACTTTGCCGAGGGGGTTTCATCTGTTCTGCAGAGATCCAACCCACCATTTCAAGCTGTAACATTTCCCAAAGGCTTTTTGCGGTAGGAACAATGCAATTCCTTGGAGAGCAGGGACCTGGGCATCCTTGTGACAGAGAGAGACGTTCAGTTCTGACCCCAGTCTCACCTTGCTCCTCCTCAAGCCTGTGTTTGCACATCTCTTTTCTTTCTGCGCGTTTGAATTTAATAAATATGGGTTTTTTTAAAGAACTGTTAAGGGACTATTTATTGAATAGCGACAAATCTGTCCAAGTAGCTTTCCTAATGAAAAAACAGATTATTTTTGTTGATATTGACAGCTACAGAAATCAGTATCTGCCATAGATCTGCATCATCTGTTTTGACTCTACACTCCCCAGGAGAGCATCTGCTCATTTCCCACATGTACTGATGCCACATTGTGATCAGGAACTTAAAATACTTGCATGGGGTAACTCTCCCTGGCTCATTTCTGCCCATTGATTTCCACATGAGTGGCTCAAAACCCTTGGGAATTCCTCGTGATGGATCCATGACTCGGATCATATTAAAAAAGATTCAGGGTAAGTAATAAGTAGCAATAAACTATGGCCATGCAGCTTTAACATCAGCAGTTGAGAAGCATCCCAGAGTACAATCTCATTGATTTTAGTGGAATTATGTCATGCACTAATTTGAGCCAAAACCATGAGATATATTTCAGCGCTCCTGAAAACCCTTTTGGAATTTATTCTCCGGTGGAGGTTCCATTAAAATTAAAAAAAGACGCCAAATTTAACCATTGATCAGGAGATATTGTAACGCATCCGAGACGGGAGATTACATAAGACCTCGCAGGAGATTGACCTTTGGATGTGTGGCAGAGAGAAAAGAGGGAACAATTAAAGAGTTATTTGCCGAGAGCACCCAGGGGCACTAAAATCCCTGCCTGACAGCGGGCTCGGGCTGTTGCTGTGCCCTTTCTATTCAGCTGAGAAAGACTCGTGAAAGAAACTCCTCTCAAGAAATAGATACGATATTTTTTGCAGCCGGTGACAGGAGAGCTCTGACGAATCTGAGATCAGCTCACTTGGAGGGAACAAAGGCTGCCAGAGTGAGTCGAGTTCACTCCCCAGTAGCCATGACAACACTTTGAAGAACTCACAGTATAGGGAAGAAGTGAGGGAAATAAATAGTGATTGGCGACTCAAAGCGATCCATTATTGGTGCTCCGTTATCTCTGAGCACCTGGACAGCTCCGAAGTTAAGAAGCCAATGCTTTGTGGCTCCCTGGAGAGCAGGCAGGGTGTGGCTTATCCCAGGGAAAGGACGCAGAGGGACCTGCGGCCAGAGCCCAGAATGCTACAGACTCATCATGTGTGTCCTTGGAAAGCAGGGGAAGGATTTAGGACCAGTTCCCTCCAGCTCTTCACTTAGGTATTTCTGGGAGACATTGCACTCCATCAGAAGAACAAAAAAGGAGCAAAATGGTCATCCTGAAACGTGTAGAGTCCAGGAGTAAGTCTGAAGTGGTGCAGGAGGTGATTTAAGCAGAGCAGTCAGACTTAACAGTGAGAGATGGGATGTTCTTCGTGCTCCATCCTGCTGGCCCCTTGTCCAGCCCAGTCATGGTTACAAACAGCTGGAGGACAGGAATATCCCAAATACCTGGAACTACCTGCTGAATGGAAGTGTATCCTGGCAAGTGCTTGCCTTGCAAGTCACATCTGCTCTTTGAAAGTCTATTTCCCTTCTTTCCATTCCCCCAGGGAAGTTTGCTAGAATTTTATTAGGGTTTTTTCTTATTTTATTTTTTTTCCCCTTCATCTTTTTGGATGTAATAGCTGCCCTCCAGCTATATCTCTTTTTTGCTTCTCATCCAGACAGCTTCTGCCACTGCTAATATCCATCTGGACTGTGGGAAACCAAAGCCCACACTGGACAGTAATGTGTCAGTAGAAGCTTCAGAGTCTTCACAGCAGAGGGAAAAGGGATTAGGATTGATAGTTGCTGTGCCCAGGCTTCTTTTGCAACTCCTCAAGTGGGGTCAACAGGGCAGGAGACAGGTTAATGTCCCCTGTGCTGTCCTGGAAATGTGTCTCATCCCAGCCAGAGGCTCAGGCCATCATTCTCCTCTGTCCAATTTCATTAAAGAAATGAAAAGAGTGACAAGCGTGGGATTCATGGGGAGCTCAGTGACACAACGACCTGTTCCTCAGGAGGGAGCTGAAGACATCCATAAGTAATCCAGAGGCTCCTGAGAGCCTCCTCAGATGACAAGGTTCAGGGAGGCCTGGGGGCTGAGCCCTGCTCCACAGAGGGAAGAGATTTCAACCCTCAGGAGCGGGATTCACCCAGTGGGTGAAACCACAGACAAGCAGCGAGTGCCTGAGCACATCCCGAGGGAGCCAGAGCTGTTTGCCCACGGCAAACAGGGATTGCGGGTGTGACAACACCGCAGGGAGGGCGGGAGAGGTGAGAAAGCAGGAGAACTACCCTGGAGCACCTCAAATCTTGCTTCTCCCTGCACATTTGCACGGCTCCTGTGGGCAGTGGGCACCCAGCTCCTGTCCCTGCTCTCCTACCAGGAGGGAAATCGTCCGTGCCAACCCACTCCCACGGGCTTTGCGTTTACTCCAGCAGCCCATCCTGGTGTCCTGAGTTTTGGGAGTAGAGTAGAATGCCAACACACACTGGTAAATGCCTCCTCTGCCTGCATTCCACCTCCCTCTCGCATTTTCTGGCATCTCAGACACCCAAAGTTGACCTGAACCCCCAAACTCTGGAGGTCACAAGCACGACACCACCCCACAAAATTCTCATCTCCTCTGCCCTGCCTCAGGGCAGCCCTGGAACCTCCTTTCTCTGCTCTGAAAACTCTCCAGATATAACTGGAAATTCTGTGGACATAAACTGTATTTATTATTATATTGATCTAAACTGTGAAATTTTCTCTAATTCTGAAATATTTGCTACTACTGGCAAGCAAACAACCCCCACCTCTCCTGAGAAGCCAGCAAAGTTGGTTGTGCATGGGGGTGACTCTCATCACCACGTCAGGAACTAAGGGCAGGATTGTTGCCTTTGACTGTGGAAGAATCTGTGATCTCACCAAGGAGTGTCATTCCAGGTGGAATCAACTTTCCAGACTCACCCACAAACAAAAAATACAAGCTTTCCATCAGACCAATGAAAAATTCTTTTGCTTCATTCAAATTAAAAGTTTCATTTAGATTTCAGCCTTTTAATAATTTGCTTTTTGATCTTGTAGAAAAAAAAACGGGGTGAGATCTCCAGCTTGCAGGTCTGTGGGGTTCAGCACAATAATATCCAGCAAAAAGAAAATAACCTATTAAAAGACAGATGCCCTATTAAAGGGCAGGAATAGTTACAGGCTTTGTAAAAGTCAAACACCTTCAGAACTCGTTGTTTTCCAAGAAGTGGTGATTAATAGCTATTATGAGCACCGCTGGAAGCGTGGCTATGTCACACAGGCAGGGAAGGAAGCAGAGAGCGTGACTTTAGGGTTGGTGAAGCCCCAGGCACATTCTGGGTACCCCTCAGGTCCATTATACCAACCACCAGCACTTGGAAGTTCTGCTGAAAGTCAAACTTTCAGCAGATCCTCCTGAGGCGCTGGGGCTGCAAATGCTTCAAGATGAATTGCTTGGTCACAATGGAAAGCTGTCACTATGCACCTCTGGACAACCAAGAGGCTGGTGGGATGGCCTGACCTGCTCTCCAGCTCCACTGGTGGCACAGCCATGACCTCCAGTGACCATCAGAGACACCTCAGCAGGTAGCTCAAAAGTAGATGTCAACATACAGACCTGTCTAAAAGGAAGGTATTTTCAGCTTGAGGTGTCTGCCAGTCATTCACACCTTGGCAGCCCTGAGAAAGAGATCACAGAATCAAGGAATAGTTTGGGTTGGAAGGGACCTTTAAAGTCCATCCACACCCCCTGGAGTGAACAGGGACATCTTCAATAAGATGATGTTGCTCAGACCCCAGTCCAACCTGGCCTTGAATGTGTCCAGGGATTCTGCATTTCATAGAGTCATTAATGTTGGAAAAGCCCTCCGAGATCATCCAGTCCAAACCTTAGCCCAGCATTGCCAAGGCCACCACTAACCCATGTCCCCAAGTGCCACATCCACATGGTTTTTAAATCCCTCCAGGGATGGGGACTCCACCACTGCTCTTTGCAGCCTCTTCCAACAGTTGACAACATTTTGGTGAAGAAATTTTCCCTAATATCCAACCTAAACCTCCCAACAGCTGTCACTTCCAACCTCAAACGTCTCCAATCCTTTTGGGATATCTTTTTTTTTTTTCTTTCTACTGGAAAAATAACATAACAGCGAAGCTGTAGAAACTCAGCTGCTTCAGAAACCGTAACCCATCCACAATTCACAGTCTGTGGATTGGGAAACCCAATCTCTTTAAAGAAAATACTCCCAAGTCCCTGAAATCCCTCCCTGCGCCCGGGGCTTTGCAAACCTCCACTTACTCTTGGCACCCGTCCCCGGATTGTGTCACTCGCCAGCTTAGTTAAGAAGTTGATTTGAATATTGTTTTATCACACTGTGCTTTGCAGACAGCATTGAGTCAGCTCAAAACCAGCTCAGTGTGTACTGGCTCCCAGTTAATTATAGTCATAAAACATAATTTACTCCGGTGAAAGGAAATACTTGGAATCCGGAGGGCTCTTTGCTGCAGACGCCGGTTCCTGCGCAGGGTTTTGTTTTCCCCCGTTATCGCGCGGGGCACGAGGCAGCAGGGAGAGTTTTCTGGCTGTGGGATTAGAGATTGTTAAAGAGCGTGTCCAGACGTCCCCCAGTGCACGGGAGATCACAGGGAGGATGTTTTGCAGACGGTTTATTTTCCAACGAGCATTAATACAAACCTTGGGAAAGAAAGGAGGAAACCGTAGCCTTGTAAATAATTGCCCGTCTCTTGCTTGGGGTTTCTTTGTACCTGTCCTCCCTTCAGCAGGGTCCCTAAAGAAATGGCTTGGTGTTTCCTCCCATTTCAGCTCTCCAGGCAGCAGATAGTCATGGTTTTAATGCCCTATTTGAGGATTTGTTTTCCCAAAAGCCATATGCTTGTAGTGTACCCTCCTTTTTCAAACCACTCACAGGGCAAGGAGCTGCATCCTGGTCTTTGTCCCTTCCTCAACGTGGCAGAAAAAGTTATTTCCATCATAGAGACTGGACCACCTCTTGAACCTACCTAATAAATCCATCCCATGAAACAAATCCATGGCAGTAAACACCTGATGGTGAAGGGAGGCAAGAGGTGATGGGCGCCTTCCTCTCTGTAGATGTGGCTCATGGCCACATCATGGGCACATCCCAGAGCTATTCTGGGAGTATTTGCATGTGTCAGAGCTTCTCTCCCATTGTCCAGGAGAGGATTTATGGCCACAGACCAGGTCTGAGGTTTCCACAAGAGGCTCAGGGTTGCAGGACTCAGCATTTCCTTACTGAGAGGTTGCCTTGGCCGAGTGCCCAACCCCAGAGAGGCAGCTGGGGAGGGAGCGTGGCTGAGGGCAGATGGTGGAGCTGCAGCAACAGCAACCCACCCTCTCCTTCAAGCTGTCAGGAGTGCTTAAAATCGGTGGGAGAAGAGCAGGCACAAGCTGGAATATCCAGGGAAGCTCCACTGGGAACAGCTATTGCTGGTGAGCCCTGGTGGGGCTAATCTTGAAGGGGGACACTTTGTTCCTCACAGGATTTGAGGCATTTGGGAAGGGCAAGAGCAAGGGGGAAATGCTTTGCACATACTCAAATTCTCTGCCCTCATCTCCTGCTCCTCACTGGTGGATGGAAAAGCATCTTGTCAGCCAGGTCTTTTAGCAGCTCTGGCACAAAATTTAAGTGCTTTCATGTTTCTTCCAACCAGAGGGAGTCAAGTGGAGGATATGTTTTAGTTTGTCTGGGCAGATGCTCCCCTTGAGAGAGGCATCACACTGTAATAGTGAACTTGATCCTATCTAGATGTTTTTCTGGGTTCCCTCCCTGGTTTTTCTCCAGCACTGGTGAGAGGGACAGCAGCTCCTCTGGGCCTGTCTAATAGATGGATACTGCACAGAAATGAGAGCTGGTCTGAATTCCAGCCTCCTGATTCCCTCCCTTCAAAGCCCTGTCTGTGCTGAAGAATGGAGGTGGCAAATCTTGGCCAGACCCAAAGGAGGGCATGGAGGGGGTTTGGTGAGTCTGTGAGCCCTGACACAGCTGTGCATTCCCTGGTCCTGCCACCAGATCCCTTTCTGCCCCGAATTCCTCGTTATCGGAGTATTAATTGTACAGTAAGAAAAGACTCAAGTGTTTGTACCACGGGCTGATCCCTCAGCATGGGCAGCAGGGCAGGGGAGGTTTCTGCCCCTCTGCCCCCTCAGGTGAGACCCCCCTGCAGAGCTGACTCCAGCCCTGGGATCCCAGCACAGGAAGGACATGGAGCTGCTGGACTGAGTCCAAAACAGGGCCACCAAGCTGATTAAGGGGATGGAGCAGCTCTGCTGTGAGGAAAGGCTGAGAGAATTGGGATCGTTCAGCCTGGAGAAGAGAAGGCTTTGGGGTGACATAACTATGACCTTCCAGTAACTGAGGGAGCTGACAAGAAAGATGGAGAGAGACTATTTACAAGGGCCTGGAGTGACAGGACAAGGGGAAATGGCTTCAAACTGACAGAGAGTAGGTTTATATGAGATATTGGGAAGAAATTCCTGGCTGTGAGGGTGGTGAGGCCCTGGCAGAGGTTGCCCAGAGAAGCTGTGGCTGCCCCATCCCTGGAAGTGTCCAAGGCCACGTTGGAGCAACCTGTTCTAGTGGAAAGTGTCCCTGTCCATGGCAGGAGGTGGGGCTGGATGGTCTTTAAGGTCCCTTCCAAGCCAGGCCATTGTTTGATTTTGTGATTCCATGAATTAAAGTGCCCAAATCTGACAAGAGTCAAACTTTCTGGGGAAACTGAGGCAGTGGATGCACCAGGGACATGACTCCAAACCCCAGCAATCCCTTAAGAGGTCCCAAAGAGAAACCAGCACCTCTGGCTCCTGCAAGCACTGCCAGCCAGCCACCCTCTTTAGGTTTTATTGAAGTGACCAGGAATATGGTCCTCTTCTTCCTCACCAGCACGTGCGGGACCAGCAGGGAAATAAAAGCTCTCAAAAGAGCAAAGCCCATCACATTTGGTGTTTTATCAGGATTCCACTTCTCTTTTTTAATGCACTGTGAGGAGATGGGAAGCACTGCTCCAGGTCTGGGCAGAAAGGACCAGGAAGGGAAAGAGAAGCCCCACAAGCCTTGGAGGCACAGAACCAGGGAAGCTACAGAAGCGGAAAAAAAATAAACAAACAGGGGGAAAAAAAGCAAAAACACCTTAAAATGTTGTTTGTTTATCTCACAGTCGCTTATTTTGCTGCAGAGGAGTTTGAAGTTCTCCGTTTCCTGGGTGTGCTACAGGAGCAGCAGAGTTGAGACACAGGCTTTTAATGAAGTTTATGTAAATTTGGTGGTGTTTATACTTAGCAGAACAGATTTAGGAGTACTAATAAAGCAGCAGATGAGGCGTAGAAAAGAGTGAAGTTCTCCACCACTGTTATTTTTTACCTTCCTCCCACCATTCCCAACGAAAAGAGTCTGTTTCTGTTGCCAGTTTCTCTTCAAAACAAGTGCTTTTGAAAGCCCATTTATCCCCAAGTGCTGCTGAAGCATCTCCCAAGGTGCAGTTCAGTTGTGTCCCGTTGCCTTTCTTCCATGAGCAGCCGGGGGCAATTCAGTCCATGTTTGCTTTTCCCTTAAAGGGAGTGAATTTTTCCCAACTCCACTGGTGGGTCTTTGTTCACTACCATGGGATCACTGAGGCAGGAAAAAGCAAAGCCAGGATTTTCATTAGGGGTGGTCAGAGTGAAGCTGGAGCAGCCTTTTCCTTGGGAAGAAGGTGAGGGTTCATTCTGGGTTTGGATGCTGAGGAAGAGCAGGATGAGTCTCATCCCTGTGGGTGGAGGAGGAGGCAGAGCTGGCACTTCCCAGTGATGGGTGGTGGCTGATCCTGTGCTTGTGGCTACAGGGAGAAGAGCAGGGGCCACCAACCACGTGGTCATTATCTCTGTGCCCTGAGAAAGCAACAAGTCCATCTTCAGAGACCGTGGTGGAACAAGAGTTGAGAAGTAGAAAAATTCATGGATTCCAAGTTAGGACAAGGAGAGTGGTGGGTCTCTAGGTCCTCACATATTGTGTGGGGAGGCTGAATAATGAACCATGACTAATAACCCAATAGCAAACAAGTGGAATGTTGCCTCCTACCCATCCCCACATTGCTGTGACCCGTCTGAATGAAGCTGGAGAGCAGTTTTGGAGTGTCCTGAGTGCTGAGGGATGTCCTCCTGCATCCCAGAAACACCACTGAGGGGGCAGGAGGGATGACATGGGAGGGTGAGGGATTTCATCCTGCCTCTTACCTCAGCCAGACAAAGCCTCCACAGCCACACTTGGGTCTCCCTGGATGTCCTCTTGCAGGTGGGGAAAACCAGGATGTGGAGACAAGTGACTTGGAAGAAGGTGCCTAGGAGCCCTGACACACCACCACAACCTCTTAAAAATATTTTTTGCTTGCCCTAGAGGTGTTTATGTAAAAAAGAAGAGGCAGATTTGGGGCTTGTCAGCTTTATGAATTGCTGTGGCAGTAACCTCCAACACAGTTCACTCAGAATATTCCCTACCAATTCCCTCCTTGGCAGACCCCACCTGGGATGGGGTTTCCAAGGAGGGGAGTGTAGCTTCAGGGCCCATTTTGAGCAAACCTCTTCTTACCAGGGAAAAGCAAAAGTCCTTTGCACACTTGGGGATGAATAAACACACAGGGACCCAATGAGATGAGCCACCTGGACACAGTCCTGTGCCACGTGCTCTGGGATGAAGGTGGGACCAGTTGACCCCACTGTGGTCCCTTCCAACCTGACCCATCCTGGGATTTTGTGAGATTTACAGGCTGTGGATGTGTTGGCTGGATGAAGGATCCTCCCTGGGCTGCATCCAGATCATCTGAGACATTTAGGTTCCCTCCCTGCCCCTGGCATCCCTCACTGTGACCACAAAACTCCTCCACTTGGCAAAGAAGGGCAGTTTTTTGATACCAGAGGTGTCTGGATCCATCATCATGAAACAGAAGGTAATGCTAATTATTAAAAGCCACCAGGCACTGCTGAAGAAACATCAAGGATTTTTCCTATTTTTGCCACCTTCATGCCTGGCTTTCCATTCAGAAAAGAGGTAATGTCTAAATTTAGGACTGGAATGGTCAAAGCTTATGTTTGAGATGAGGTTTCACTACAGCACCACAGGCCCCTCAAACAAAGCAGAGCAATGCTTGGTTCGGGCGGTGAGAGCAAAACAGCAAAACTCCACGTTGTCCCCTGTCCACCTCACGCTGTTCCCTGTGCACCTCTTCCATCATTTCAAGGCCAAATTCCTGCCAGGTGGATGGAGAGCCAACAGATGGGGGGGGGGGTTCTTGCTTCTTGTCTCTGTGGTTTCCTGGGCAGCAGAAACACTGCAGGGGAAAACCTCGACCACTTCCCTTCAGCTCAGCCCGGGGCTTGAGTTTTCCTCAGGGAGCCTATTCCTGCAACACAAAGAGTCCTGGAAAACATGGAACCCCCCCACATATTTTAGCAAGCAATGATGGTGTTTAATTTTTTATAGGAACCAACCATTTATTTTACCAACACCCACTGGGGCTTTAATGCACACCAGGGAGAAAACTTGCAGGAGTTGTGTGTTAGTAAATCTACACCACTGAGCTGAACATCCTACCCAGATTTTCATGGCATCATGGAATCATAGACTGCCAGGTTGGAAGGGACCTCAGGGATTATTGGGTCCAACTTTTCTTGGTAAAATCCCTGTCTAGACAAGATGATCCAGCACCCCATCCAGCTAAATCTTAGAAGTGCCAAACACTGGGGAATCTCCCACTTCCCTGGGGAGACTATTCCAGTGGCTGATGGTTCTTGTTGTGAAAGATTTTCCTCTTGTGTCTAATCACAACCTCCCCAGGACTGATTTGTGCTGGTTACCCCTCCTTCTTTCCATGTGATTCCCTGTAAAAAGGGAATCCCCACTTGTTTGTAGCCACCCTTTAAGTACTGGAACACGGAGACAAGGTCTCCCCTCACCCTCTTTTTGTCAAGGCTGAACAAACCCAGTTCTCTCAGCCTTTCCTCACATGGCAGCTTCCCAGTTCTTGGATCATCCCTCTGGCCCCTCTCCAACCTGTCCTTTTTGTGTAGCAGGGGCCAAAACTGAACACAGTGTTCCAGGTGTGGCCTGAACTGCAGGGCAGTGTGGGACAAAGACTCTTCCATCTCTGCTGGGTTATTTTTTTTTTTTTTGGCTATAAAGCTCTGACGTGAGAAGCAAGGACATGTGATCCACCAAGATCCATTAATTAGGCAGGGGTGCTGCTCAGGGAGTTTTTCTGGCAGGGCTTTGGGTCCTGCTATAGCTCCTGGAGACTATCTTCTGGCAGGGAGGACTCCAAAGTCCCAGTTCAGCGTTGCAGAAGTGGCCCATTAATGGTTTTGACCTCCTCTTTGTTTTCCTCCAGCTCATCTGGGAGTAACCAGCAATCCATATGGGGCTCTCTGACATCCAGAAACCCCCAGGAGGATCTTCCTTGCCACAGACTCATGGAATTTTCAGGCATCCCAGTTCCTGGGGAGGAAGGGACAGCCAAAGGCTGGATCTGGGTGATCATCTGGAGGGGAGATCTTCGAAACAGGGATTATTCTCACTTAATCAAAGAAATCTTTGGGGAAAAAAACCAGGCTTTTCCAGACCAAAGGCACTCAAATGCAGTCTCAGGTGCCTGAGTGATCCTGTTGTATGTGAGGCACCAGGGATGGGAAACCAAAAGTTTGAATCCTTGTTGAGGAGTGATGGATTCACAGTTCTTTCACTAAATGCTGAACCTCACTTGAATTTGCAGCTGCAGCTTCTTTTCTCTGCAACCTGAAATGAATCTAAATATCCCTGACTTCAGGTGCTGGAGGAGGAGGAGGAGGAGGATGTTTCTAGAAAAAAAGAGAAGTGTTCAGTCCAGGAACCAGCTGTGATTGCTAAATTAGATGATTTAGACACATGGGGGGAACAAAAAAAAAAGGCAAAATGACTGAAAAGTTAAAAATACAGCCTGAAACATGGAGTCTTCTGGGAGCTGCATTTCACCCTTCTTTGCTCTCCTCTAAACCAAGGATGAAGGGCACTGCAACCACAGACCAGGCCCACAGTGTCAATATTATGTAAAAGATGGAGGGCAGGAGGAGATAAACCAGCCCAAAACTCTCCTCTTTGGTATCACACACGAGATTTTGCAAAATTACCAGCATGAGTAAGTAATTTCTGGGACAAGGGCAAGGACCAGAGGCACAGAAGATGCTGCTCAGAAAAAGAGATGTTTTCCTGCTCTTCTGTTGGTCGTCAGCCTGAGGACAAGTTGATAATCCCACTGATTGCTGACCAGGTATCAGTGTGATGCTGAGCTCCCAGAACGCTTGAGGGGCTTCTCCTAAAGAAATCCCACCTGGGGCCCTTTTCCAGTCAGTTGCGGTGGCCCAGGAGGGAAGGAACTGGGGGAACTGGTGAGTGTATCAAGCAGAAGATGTGCAGGTTGTTTCACCCAGCTCCTGAAGTGCTGGTGAGTCTCGTTAGTCCAAGTTTCCATTTTAAAAGAGAGAATAGGAACTTCCAGGCAGGAGGATTTTACACACAAGGAAGGACTTAACAGTTAAATTTATTCCTGGCTAAACCGAGAAGCCCAGAGTTATTAAAGCATGAAATTGTGCCAGTCAATTAAAGCGTCAATCATGGGCAGCCTCATTTAGGAGAGCTGCTTTAATCCCAGGAAAAGAACATTTTTTTTGTTGGCCTAGTGAGGGAGAGCACGGTGTCTTGAAGTTGGTTTTAGCTGTCCCTCAGTTACTGCTCAGAGATTTGCCAATTTATTTTTTTTTATTTTTTTTTTATTATTTGATATTTTCTGCTGTGCTCCTTCCAAGGTGACTCGTGCTCTGCTCAAGTAGAAACACAGATGCGATTTTGAGCTGGAGATGGAGTGACTCCAGTGGGCTACAGAGCAAACAAACAAGAAAACTAATCAAAGGGGCATTTTAACTGGCAAACATCAGAGTTCTGGGACATCTTTTGCTTTTAAGCAGATAGCAGATTCTTCTTTTGTTTTCAAAACTCGGCAATTAAATTATTCTGCTTGTCGCTTCGTGCAACACGTGTTTGTTTTATTTGCTTTTAAAGGCTTTTTTTTCCCCCCTCTGGGCTGAAATCCCAGGATCCTGACTGCACCACTGATATGTTTTGAACAAATGATGCCTGTCATTTGGCCCTGGTTATATAGAGCACATACCTGAGTGTGATGGATGAGAAACATGTCCAGAGGGGGTTTACTGGGAGTTGACTGTAAGCCTAGTGCTGGATACAATCTTTTATTCCTTATCCACTGAAACTCATGATAAAAAAAGGGTTTGGAGGAGAAACAGGAGTTCGGGGAGCCCAGAAACCTGACTTAAGTCATAGGTGAAGCTTGGTGGAGAACCCTGACCAGCAGCAGGAATTTCCCTTGGGCTGGAGATATTTTGGAGGTGGGAACAGCTCTGGGCAGTGGTGTGAGGGTCAAGCAGGTTGGTCAGGGCAACCTGTGGGCTGTGGGCTGTGGAAAGCTCTCTGTCCTGGGAGTGCACAGATCCCAGCTGGTGGGACAGTACCAATGGCAGCATTTAGGACAACCTACACGGGAAATTTAGATAACTTGACTTGAAATTCAAATTCCTGGGACCAAGGAGGTCAAGGAAGTCGCTTCAATATCTGTTGTAGGAGAAGAGCACGTGGGTGCACCAGTCCCACCTGCTCTGCTGGGTGCAGGGGATGGGTAACCTCTCTTTCCAGTGTGTTCCTGGACACCAGGACATTGATACAAGTCTCA